TATAACAACTCTTTCTCATTCCACTAAGAATTTAAAAATTTTCTACCTAATATCAAACTTATAATCTATACCTCCATATAACCCTTGTCATATTTGATCCTTTAAACTCCATCTTTTACATTCCACTATCCATTTATTCATTCAAAATCAAGATCTCCTTGTAACATAGGTCGTATCTTTTCTTTCTTGTTCACATATTCTTTCCATATCACTTATACTTATCTCTGATTGCCAATCTTTATCACATTTCCCTAACTTTGATAATTAACATTACTTGAACAAAGCCTTATTCTTGTAAAATCCTTATTCGAATTACAATATACATATCCTTTTTATCATCTTAAACTTTTCTACTACATTCTTAGCTTCCTTCAGATATATGAATCCTTATATCATTCACTACACCACATTTACATGATCAAAATACACAACCATATCCAAATTTACGCCATACTTGGTTAGCTTAACCTGACATCATCTTCTAATCCTTTAACTTTAATACACTTATCATCACATAACTTTGTTAGTCGGTACTAGTTCTTTCAATCTAGAGCGCAAACCCTCATCAAACCAATCATATACATTTTTTCAAGTCGAAATTAAATCGACAATAATTTACTCAACTTATCAAATCCGCATTCTTACTTATACACAATGCAACTTCCTTGGTTCAAACTCTAACATTCTCACTTCCTTTGTCTTATAAACTGATCACCGATGTACCCATTCTTAAACTCTTCCAAAATAATATCTACATCACTTGATCTTTTAATATTCTCATAATAACATCTATCTACTCTACTCTAACTTGCCAGTGTAGCAAATGAACTACTCATATTCATAACAATGGAAATCCTCTAACACGATTCAGATGCGTTTTCAATCTCCTGAAAACAATCCTCAATTTTACAAAGGCGCTCCTTGAAGTATCCGCTCTTCATCCTACCTGGCCAGGGCAGATGAATTGCTACCACCATCAAGTCTATCATCTCTAAATTTTCTTCAAAAATCTCATGGTCAAACATCTAATTTAACATAATAATTGAATCTTATTAGCAAGACAACATACTCATTACACTATCAGATCAAAAAATTTTCACTTTGTGTTGACATATATACATTTTAAAACTTATTTGACTTTAGTTTAAGCCTAGAATTGGCTAAAGATTAGCTCTGATACCATTAAATGTAACACCCTAACTCGTACCTGACTCGGATACGAGTCTGAAGTTTCACATTGACTTTTCAAACCATTTTCTTTTAAAAAATATTTGACCATTCAAGTTTACATTGAAAACTGAATGACTTATATTAAATACAATCATATAGTTTTACAAAACTGATCAGTGTATTCTACTAAATCTTTATTTACATGCCAACTAAAATCATATTTCATACTAGTATGCACTCACCTAGGCCTCAGTAGTCAATTTGAATACTTATGACTCTTGTACATTCTTATAGCTTCGAATCTTCTTGGCTTGGCTTCAATCTATATTTACACGAATATACGACTTATATGAATATCAGAGTTTGAATTACTTATAACCAATCAATATAACTTAAGATGAAAGAAACACTTAACTTAACATTTCATACTCAATAGTATTGGTACTCCCAATACAGTACCGATACTACTCTTTTATGATATCGATACCCCTACTCGGTACCTATACCATTTTGACATTCTATATTTGCAACTTGATAATGGTATCGATACTAGACACTTGGTATCGATATCCTTTTCAACTAGTACGATATCACTCTTCTATGGTATCGATTCTTCCTAAAGACTTCATCTCATTTTATCATATGGTATCGATACGTTAATTCAATATCGATACCCCAAGCTCAATTTCTACTCATTTTTCTTTGAAGTATCGGTACTGGTTGAACAATATCGATACCCCATGCCTAGAATACCCTTTTTTAACCCAAGAATTTACCAAAACTTACTTAAACCTCTCAGTTTGAACTCTTTTCATACCATTAACTTCAACTATACTTACTCATACCATCTTATATCCATATAACACATCATCATCTTCACTATCTCATTATAATTCTTGAAACCAATAATCTTACTAAAATTTTCAACATGTTCTTAATTCACCTATATTACTTCTAACTTCTTAATTAGACCATTGACAAGTCAAATATGACTTCTAAATTTCTTTACTCATTTTCCAACAATTCACTCAAAAACTCATTTTATTTAATCTCTTATAACTCATCCCTCTTTGAGTTTTAAGCAATCTTAATCTTTCTTTAAGCTTTCTTAATACTCCAAGTATCAAAACCAACTTTAAAATGAAGGAAATAACCAACTTGAGACCAACTTACCTTTTACCAAGCACTCACGGTGGAAGAAGAAGAAGCTAACTTCCAGAGTTCTCTGGTTTTTTCTTTTATTCCCATCTACACGTGTACATATATAACACCACTATAATTTTTTAATTATTTTCTTACCAAATGACCATTATACCCTTCTATCTTTCCATCTTTACTAATCAATCCCACTCACATAATTTCTAATTAAATCCCTGAACTTTTTAATTTTTTGAAATCAAACATCATAGTTTCAAAACTTACATTTTAGTCACTAATTCAGTTTTTAGGATATTACGATTTGTATGGTATGTGTCTTTAATGGATGTTTGAGTAGATCAAAATCAAGCTCCCGAGTCAAGCAAGAAAAAGGGAAAAAACAAAGTTGTCGAGTAGTTGGACATCATTACAATATATCATGTGAGTGCATACATTGTAATTATATTGGTTGAGGGAGACTCACAATAAGTCCACCTCAAATGTTTAAATTAATGTATGTTTTACTTTATATTATATATGTTTATAATGGGTGTGGAACTGATATTATGAATGATTTTTAGAGTAAGAACTGTTTTAAATAAAAGATTAATTGCCTAGCTGTGCATTTGACAGAAAGGTGTCAATTATGTCAATTAGATGAAAGGTTAAATATCTTTAAGTAAAAGATTAATTGCCTAGCTGTGCATTTGACAGAAAGGTGTTCATTATGCCAGTTAAATGAAAGGTTAAATACCTTTGAGTAAAAGATTAATTGCCTAGCTGTGCATTTGACAGAAATGTATCAATTATGTCAGTTAGATGAAAAGTTAAATACCTTTGAGTAAAAGATTAATTGCCTAGTTGTGCATTTGATAGAAATGTGTCAATTATGCCGGTTAGATGAAAGGTTAAATACCTTTGAGTAAAAGATTAAATGCCTAGATGTGCAATTGGCATAAAGGTGTCAATCATGCAAGTTAGATGAAAGGCTAAATGCCTTTGAGTTAAAGATTAAATGACTAGTTGTAAAATAGGATGAAAGGTGTCAAACATGCAAGTTAGATGAAAGGCTAAATGCCTTTGGGTAAAAGACTAAATGCTTAACAGTGCATTTTGACATAAAACAGTGCAATTTATTGATTTGAATAAAAGGATTGTAAAGGAATCCCATAAAGTATACAATTTATCCTGGTTTTGATAGTCATGATATACTTATGAATAAATTGTAATTCTTTTACAAGGTTATGCATCACTAAGTAAATACTTAACGTGTGTTGATTTCACGCGTAGGTAACAATCAAAGATTTGACGAGTAAGAAGTGCAACAGTAACAACTTTCATCAATTAAAGGTTGACTCGTCAGTAACATTGGAACAATCTTATTCATTTTGAAAACTTAGCTGACATGTAGTTAACGTTAAGAAAATATTTTGTAATGTATTTAAATTGATAGTTCTAGTAATATGCTTCTATGAATATTATACTATTGTGTGGTTTTAAAATTTGAAACAAAATTTTACAGGTTTATAATGACAAAATGTTTTAAAAAGTGTTGTGACATCCGTATCTCGTGTACGAAAAAATATATGGGAGATGAGTATTACAGATATGATGTCAAAAGATTTTGACTATAGTAAATTGCAGGAGAGATGTAAGAAATTATAAATTGTTATTTATTGATCGGAGAAACATTATAAATTAATTTGAGACTAATATGTACATAAATGACGCATATTAAACATATCATTAAGATAATCATTTCTTAACGAGTAGGAAGTGCACACGTTTTTTAAGTGCTTTGAAATTGAGGGTGAGATAAGAAAGATTTGTAGGTTGAACTTGAATGATTGATGTTTCTGTGAATCAAAATATAATATAATCAGTGTATTGAGTTGTAATTTTACCAATTATACTTCTATTCTTTTTTATTTCTCCCATCCCAAAAACGACGGCAACTCATTTTTTCTCCGTGAATATGTAACTTCCTTGAAATCACAAGAGAGAAGCATGTTACATGCTGAAATTTCAAGAAAGGTTAAATTGTAAAAAGAAAAAAAAGTAGTTCCATTTGGTAAAAGATGGAAAACTTTACGACCAACCCAGAATTTCAGGGCAACACCATAATAGCTGCGTTACTTTATTGCCCAATACCACTCACCGCCACTCGCGGCAGAAGCAGCCTCACCTTTTTCTAGAAGCACCACCACCGCCGATAATCTTTTAGAGTAAATTATGTGTTTAATATATAAATTATAATTTTTAGTCTCTTTTAGTATCTAAGAATTTAATGTTTTTAAAATTATATATAATATTTAGTTTTTATTGTATTTTAGTACACATCCGTTAAAAACTTAATTTATCAGTTTTGATTTGTTTTAATACCTAAACATTTAATTTTTTTTAAAAATAATGTTAAATTTTTTAACAAAATACTAAAATAAAACATCAAATATTATTTTTTTTAAAATAAAAATTTAAATACTAAAACATGCTAAAAATATTACGATGTTTTAAATCACTGTAAATATTATCTAATAATTTTTTACAAAACACCGAGTCACGTATAATCCGCCGAAATTGCTCACGTGGCCAAATCCGGTCTCGCATAAACGCACCCCTTTGAATCTTGAAAACGTCCTCAACAAGAAATTTTATTTAATCGAAAAAAAAAATAAACTGAAACTATTCTTCACTTATAAATCGTAGCCACCAAGCAACGTCCCCAAAACACCAGGAAACAAACAATAAAAACCAACCGGTTTGCCAGTCATCGGTCAGCCTCAGCCATGATCGACGATAAAAAACAACTCGATCGATCCGCACAGCATTCGATCACGACCTTTGATTTAGATAGCTTGGAAATCGTCACGGCTCTCGGACGAGGAGCCAAAGGACTGGTGTTTCTAGCCAGAGATAACGTGAATGATGAGATTTTTGCTTTAAAAGTGATATCGAAAGATTCGATCGAGAAGATGAATGCTAAAGCAGTGAATAATAGTAATAGGAACGAAGGGAACGAGTATAGAAGAGTTAGTTTTGAACAGGAAGTATTGGGGATTGTTGATCACCAGCTTTTACCACGGTTGCGAGGAGTTTTGGCTACCGACAAAGTCATCGGTTACGCCATTGATTATTGTCCCGGCGGTGATCTTCATTCTTTGAGGAAGAAACAGACCGAGAATATGTTCTCCGACGATTTGATAAGGTGAATAAAATTTACTGCTAACACTATATTTTCAGTCTATTTATTTGTTTGAAATTTAATATGAATTTTTCTTTTAGATTTTATGCAGCGGAATTGGTACTGGCTTTGGAGTATCTTCATAATTTAGGCATTGTTTATCGAGATCTGAAGCCTGAAAATATTATGATTCAAGAAAATGGACATATCATGCTTGTAGATTTCGATCTTTCCACGAAACTTTCTCCAAAATCACCAGACAAATCAATGTCTTTCAAATCAGTCCATCAAAGTCCGACTGACTCGGTCAAGAAAAACCGGTTATTTCCGTTTGTTAGGTGGTGTAACTCGGGAATATCTCCTGAAGACGCGGATTCTCAAGCAAGCTTCAAACCGGATTGTACAGAGTTAGACTCGGCAGAGAAATCAAACTCATTCGTCGGAACAGAGGAGTATGTGGCGCCAGAAATCGTATCAGGTAAAGGTCACGATTTTGCCGTTGATTGGTGGTCACTAGGGATCGTCCTCCACGAAATGCTGTACGGAACGACGCCGTTTAAGGGATCGAACGAGAAGGAAACGTTTCACCAAATTTTAACGAAACCGCCGGAACTCGTCGGCGAACGGACGTCATTGAGGTACTTAATAAGAAAATTATTAGAGAAAGATCCAAAGCAAAGGATCACGGTGGAAGGAATCAAGGAGCACGATTATTTTAAGGGAATCGATTGGGATCTGATCCTGCGAATCCAACGGCCACCATACATTCCCGCACATTCAGTGGAGGAAATCACAGTGGCGGTCAAGGATGGAATAAAAGGACTCGATGTCGAGTTGTTCGTTCAAGAGTTATTCGCAAACGGCGATGACGGTGACGGCGGTGAGAAGAACAATAAAAGTAAACACGGTGAGAACGATCCAGGGGATTTAAACAAAAATAAATGCAAATTCCATCGTCCCGAACATAATCAATTCTCTGTTTTCTAACTTCTCTTACAACAGTAATCATTACTTTTTTGTTTCTTTTAATTAAAATATAGATTACTAAGAAATATCATTCGAATTATATATACATACATATTTTCGTATATTCTGTTTGTGTAACGTCATTACTAAAGTCACGTTAATGGTTTACTCTGTTCGTATGACGTAATTGCTGATGTCACGTTAAAAATCGTATTTTATTTTATTTTCAAAATAAAATAAAATTAAATTATACCGGAGGGGATTTTTTCTAAAATATTGAAAAAAGTTGTGAATCACACGTTACAGTATTTTCGCGCCAGTCCACTATTCTTTATTATTATCCGATTAAAAAATTGAATAAGAATAAAGAATAACATACGGTCTTTATCCAAGAATAAGATGGTCCGTTGTTTAATGTATAGTTTTGGTATGGTCTTTTAACTTTGTCGCACCGCGTGGTCATAATTCTGGAATAAAGGTAGGGTGGGGGACGGCGTGTGTCGACGGTTCCCTGATTCAAGAAAGGTGAAGACATTGAATGTGTTGCACTTTGTTGTTATGGTCAAGTTGTGGGATCATTTTGATGGGAGATATTGGTGTAAAATGAGGTCCTAATAATATATCACCAACAACCCACGTACTGTATGCGTTATTATATTAAAAATTCCCATTAATTATTTATTTTGAGAAATAACTCTAAATCAGATTTATTAGAAAAATACTCTCAAATTATCTGTATAGAATGATCTCATGTTATGTAAAAAGCGAGGTCAGATTTAATGTTTTACGAAAAACGAGTTTCATGCATTTATTATTGACTTTATCTAAAATTAAATGACTTTATCTGAAAAAGTTAATATGTCTCACACCCTATAAAACACGATATCTATTAAAAGAGTTTTATAAGACTTGATATAGTTCTACGTGAGCAATTTAGAGGATATTTTTCTAACTAATCTTATTTGAGAATATTTTTAAAAAAACTAATAGGGGTTTTTAATATAATAACGCCCATACTATATGCCTCAACCACCCTCACATTCCCTTTCTAATCAAATTGAATACGGAAGATACGTATGTTTTTGGAAATTTATAAATAACAATAATATTTATTTTATTAATGAAAACGGGTTTTCATTAATAAAAATAATAGAAGGAATTAAAATTATAAATTATAAAGCAACCAAAGAGAAAATTGGAGAAAATAGTCATAAAAAAACTCATATATAAAATAAAATTATTAAACCTAAGGATACGAAGAAAAATGAAACATTCTATTGAGAATGACGTCCAACATAAAAAAAACTCAATAACATTTATAAAATTCCTTTTCTTTGTTGAACAAAATACTTTATGAAGTGATAAAAGAGTGATGAGCAAACAAAACAATTTGATAGACTAATTTGCTATACAATTATAATTATATTGATGAACTACCTTTTACCAAAGAATATCTAACTATACGTGACACCGATAAACCAATCAAAAATAAATGTTGTGAAGATTTTTGTACGAACATCAACAAGATCGTAGAGGTATACGGAAAACTTACCAAAAGTCATAAAGAACGTACCATAAGAGTAGAGTAAACATGTCACTAGAACATAAATTCTTATTTAAAATTGAAAAAATTCAAGAAAAAAAAAAGAAAAACAAAGGACATAGTATGAAAAAGAGTAAGAAAAATGATAATCACCGGTGATCGAAAATCAATATTAAAACTAGTATCGCTGCTGACTAAACAAAAGTAAAGAGAGAAGAGAGAAGAGACAAAAATATTTAGAGAAAAATTTAGGTTCAACAATGTTTCCTTAGATATAAAACTAAGCGTGTTTATATATTATATAAAATATTTTATCAACAAATAAATATTAAGTTAAATATTTATTAAAATATAAATATGAGATATAATATTATTGGATAAAACACAAATGGTCATTCGATTAAAGGGTGTTACTTTGTTGAGTATCGACAATTAAAAGTTACAAAATGAACACTTGATCATAAGGCATTGCTTCGTTGAGTCCCTTGACTATTATAAGTTATAAAATTACAACTTCACTATTTATATATTTCAAACTCACCATTCTCAGTTTAAAAAACTCACTGCATCCTGAGCTAGACATTAATCTATTAACTGTGATATGATTAAATTTAATCTCAAAATACTATCATATCTCAATCAACATGTTAACGTTAAACTCAGGTAATCATTAATATTTTAATAAAAGATGACGATTTTGATATGAATAGTCAAATAGGCATTTTGTAACTTTTAATAGTTTGGATTCGGGAGACTCAACAAAGCAACAACATATAATCGTGGGACCATTTATGTACTTTACCCAATATTATCATACAATGACGAAACTTCCATCAAATATATCTAAAGTTTCGATCCCAAACTTACCTCTTGTATGGAGTCTAAATTCCATCGTTTTGATAGTTTGACGCTATAAATTTAGAGGTTAGTGTATAGTGATTTAAATTTCTAGAGGTTTTGGCAGCGGATGGCAAGCAAAAGTTCAAATACACAGACCAGGCTGATCCAGCATGTAGTTACCAAAAATTGAATAAATACTCCAGAGAAATGAACAAAAAGTAAATCAAATCCCAGCGTGTCACACTGCAAAACCCTAAGTCCTAACAAGAGGCAAAACTATCCAAACAACAGGGATGGGAGCCGTTATTAACCTCACCATCTTGAACCCAGCAAAGAAATAATGAAAACCGAGCCAATCCACCATATACCGTGGCCGCCGGCAACCACTAAATTTATCAATATGGGTACAATAACGTAAAGATTCGTCAGAATTAAATGATTTAATTCGAGTAAATTAGATGTTTATGATGTATGTAAAAATGAATATTGCATAACGATAACTCACAATGAAGTTAATATGTTATAGTTGGAGCTTACAGAAAAACCACCTACCTACAGAAACTGGACCTCTCTACGACTAGGAGCTTACATACACGTGTGATTCCATATTTTATAGCAGAAATAAGTTCAACACACAGGGATTAATGGCCACCTAACTATCTAATTATCATATAAGTTAATATCATTTATACATCGATTTAATTTTATATTTAAGAGCAATGCTTTTATCTATTTAAAACAATATCTAGTATTTAATTATTATCTAAGGCAATATATTTAAGAAATATGTCTGATTACGATGAAATTCTTGTTACATTCAAAAGAAAGATGGTCATTATTGGAATTTAATGAGAAAATGACAGTGTAGAGGTAGCTTTCAAAGGTTGACAACCAATATATGAACTTAATAATATTTCAGAAATATATACAATTTTTTATATAAAAAAATGTCCGTTGGGGATGAACTGGAGAAGTAATGAATTAACAATAATGGGCTTAAATCTCTAATGAATTTAAAGGTTGTTGCCATGTGTGACCGATTGTTCTCACTTATCTGTCACCCTCAAATCAATCTTTTCTTATCTGATTAAGACATAATTTCTGCATGCATAATAAAGCATGTTCTCCGAGCAGGTTTGCAGTTCTAACAATACCCTACCTTCTTAATTGGGTGGTGGGTGTTTTCATCGTTATATAAAAACATGCAATTCAAACCATTTGATAATATCCTCAACTTACTAAACGATCAAATATAGTACTGAAAAGCAAAACCTACATTCAAGATCGATCAGCCATTCACTCGTCCTCGTGGCTGCGCAACCTAGCCAATTTGTTGATCACAACAACATCCAACTGTGCTGCGCGCTCGACTATTTCCTTCCTCTTCTTCGTTGAAACGTCATGGGCTATCTCAGCACAGTATGTCCTGATGACGCATCAACAATCAGAAACAAGCAGGAAAATGTTGATCTACAAAATGAGGTAGTAAGAAAGAAAAAAATTATGCCCACCACACCTGTTGTGCATCATGAGAAGCTCAAGCTCTTGGACATTATGCACAACAAACTTCTTAAACCCATTGGGAGGATAGTGGACAGTCTTCTTGTCTGAGCCATAACTGATATTCGGCATCAGAGTGCATCCTTTGAACTTCCTTCTAACACGGGAGTCAATACCCTTGGGCCTTCTTCAGTTTTCCTGCCAAAACACAAACCTTGTTATTTATCTAATCGACAATCGAGACAACAAGCAATGACGCATGAAATCTTGTAATATACAAACGTCAAGACCACTGGGCATGACAGAGAATCTAATGACATCCAAGTAAGACATAAGGATTAAAGAAATAGAGGCCTTAGTTTCAGCTTCAGGTTGCAATAAAGCACATGAAAAACACTTCATAATACAATTCGGTTATTACAAAGAAGAAATATTCAAAAGCTCGGTTAAGATGTCCAGCTATTATAAAGTTGCATAAGCATGTGTACTTCAACAATTTATCATGAAGGAATCTTTGTATAACACTAGACAAAATGATTTCAGCCATTTGTGCATCTTTCACCATGTAATTCTAGTCAGGCTTCACTTTCTGGTTTTTTCAACCTTTTTCACGGGAGAGAAATAAAATACCTTCTACTTGGAAACAAGAAAAAATGTAATAAGTTGGTCAAACATGAACCAACAAACAAAACATTGTGCGAAACTAGGTCCATAGAGTATGGAAACCTACTTCTAGAAGATGTTTGACACTGCTTTATATATATATCATTTGACTCCCTCGTCGATACCATGATCAGTGTTTAAAAAAGCGCAAATGAGGCGCGCTTAGGCGCTATGGCGAGGTGAAGCGCCTAATTAGATCTAGGCGATGTGATTTCAATGAAACGTAGAAAGACGCCGTCTTTTTTTTTTGTCCTTTTTTTATTATGTTTTACATGCTAACTTATATATTAACAACAAAAAAGAAGTAAAAACATTTGTCTTGAAGCTTGAAAGAGAGAGAAACAAAGGGGATGAATAGAGGACATTTTTAGTGTTAGGAAAAACAACCGACTGAGCAGACAAAATGATGCTTATCGTTAGTGGTATTCATCGGTGCTTATAAATTATATGTCGAGTCTTTTAGAATTTTATTTTT